AATTTATAACTGTATTAAACGTATTTGTTTTCGTATGAACGCATAAAAAATTTCAAGTCGATATGTCATTTCAGTCTTTGTTTACAAGCTATTGAAATTAGACGTGTCATAGTATTTTTTAAAATGGAAAATATTGAACATCGTGCTGTAATAAAATTCTTTGTGAAAAAAGGTTTAAAGCCCATGGAAATTCATAATGAAATGGTAAATGTGTTGGGTGATGATGCTCCTTCAAAAACAACAGTATGCAAATGGGCTGGGGAGTTTCAACGTGGGCGTTCAAGCCTTGAAGATGACCCTCGCTCTGGACGTCCAAAAAGTGCTACTACTGAAGAAACGATTAATGCTGTGCATGACATGGTTATGGATGATAGACGATTGACCAAACGTGAAATTGCTGAGGCTGTGGGCATCTCAGATGAACGGGTATTACACATCTTGCACGATGAATTACGTCTGAGAAAGCTGTTGGCAAGATGGGTGCCGCATTCGCTAACTCTGGATCAGAAACGCACTCGAGTAAAACTTTCTCAAGAACATTTGGCCCGTTTTCAAAAGAATAAAACAGATTTTGTGCGTCGATTCGTAACCATGGATGAGACTTGGGTTTACCACTATGATCCGAAGCTGCGACAACAAACTGCAGAGTGGACAGAACCCGGTTGTTCAGCTCCGAAGCAAGTGAAGGCGTCAAAATCGTCAAAGAAGGTTATGGCATCAGTTTTTTGGGATGCGAAAGGAATTTTATTAATAGATTACCTTCAAACCGGTAAAACGATAACAGGTGAATATTATAAAAATCTTTTGGACCAGTTGGATAAAAAAATTCGTAAGAAAAGACCTGGTTTGCTGCATAAAAAAATCATTTATCACCAGGACAACGCACCTGCTCATATCAGCGATGTTGCAAAGGCGAAATTGGTCGAATTAAAGTACGAACGCTTGGAACATCCACCCTATTCACCAGATCTGGCTCCGTCCGACTTCCACCTCTTTCCACATCTCAAAAAATTTCTACGTGGAAAGCGTTTCTCATCACATGAAGAAGTCATTGCAGCCGTAAATGGGTATTTTGAAGGCCTTCCGGAATCGCACTTCAGAGATGGGATACATGAATTGGAGAATCGTTGGAAAAAGTGTATTGCTCTTAAGGGAGAATATACTGAAGAATAAAGTCATTTTTTGAATCATAAAATTGTTTTTTCATTTCCGCTCCGCGAACTTTTCAACCAACCTAGTATTACCGTAGTTTCATGTACAAATGTTACTGGAATAAACTGGATTTCACCTATAGTTTTACATAAAGGCAAAAATCCGAATTAATTCTAAATTTTTCCTTAGTAATATATCCAAAAGGATATATTACTAAAGAAGAATTTTGTACTTTGGATTAGTCTTAATGACTATTTGTGGCTGTTCCTATTTTTAGCCAACAATATCTTCGGATAAAAACATTGTATACAAAAATATAGCATGAAAATTCAAATATATATATAAAAAAAAAAGAATAAAAAATAAAAAAATGTATTTATTTGAGTAATTTTAATCAGCACCGATTATTTGAAAATTTTAGTTGATTTTTGACGGACATCGCAGTCATTTGAATACTGCTGTAATAAAGGAAACCGAGAAGTTAAACATTTATATGCTTTTTTGTCCAACCCATTCTAGTCATGAACTTCAACCAGGACAAAAGTATTTTCAAACTATTAAAAACTTACTGGAACGTTGCCATTGATAATTTCCAAAAAAGCTTAGGGGTCAGGGTAGAGGGTCAGGGGGGTATTCGCCCCCGGGCGCCACTCCATGGGAGGGCACCAAAAAGGGGAAAAACAATAAAAATAAATAAATTCACAGCTCAAACCCAGATCCAACAACTGCTCAGTGACTAACAGTCAAACGACTACAAGATTCCACAATGAACTTTAAAGATGCAGCATCTAATATGAAAATGTTGGAAAATTATCTCAAAGAATTTTGTGTTCATTTGTGCCAAAATGCATTTAAGTATAGCAAGGGCTATGGAATGGGGAATTTAAGTTGAGAGGAAAGTCAGGCGACGGCGAATAATGCCAGATGAATGGGATGGAGATTATGGCCTTTCTGCTGAAGATTAAGTAAGCAGAGTTTTGAAAATGATATTGGATTGTTTCCAACAAGAACTAACAACTCGCTTTAGACAATTAAATAATCTCAATGAAAAATTTGGATTCTTGCTCGAAGTGAGAATATTGCTAAAGAGGGATGGTGATGAAAATCAAGAAAGTTTCCAGCAACAATGTTAGGATCTGGAAAACTTTTACAGTACAGTGGAGTATATCAGTATCAGTATATCAGTGTAGCAGAATTATTAACTGAAATCGCAGACTGTCAAATGCTGTTTAAATTGTGGGGCCCAATATCATCAACTCCGCTGGATTTACTTTCATTTATTTTGTCATACAGGGATGACGTTTTTCCAAACTTACGCATTACATTACAAATATTGCTCAGAATTGCTGTGTCAATAGCCACTTTCTAACATTCCCTCAGTAAGTTGAAGTATATTCTTTCATATCAACGAGCTTCAATGAGGCAACAACGTTTTGTTGATTTGGCAATTCTTAATGTCGAAAGATAAACTCTAAAATCAACAGACTTTGACGACATAATAGATAAAATTGCTGCAGTTAAAGCTAGAAAGATCAAATTATAATTTCTTAATAGTCATTGATTATTGGATCTGATTGACCATCTGTCACTTTCAATGATTGATTGACCATCTGTCAATTTCAATGACTAATTCACATGAACAAAAATGGATACGTAATTGAAAACATGAGTTAAATTGAGTTTGCATTATGATTAACATTTGCATTTTTAAAAATAAAATTGACATATACTTGGAAACATTAAGTGATTTTTTTATGTCTGCTTTAGGGGGGCGCCAATTTTCAGTATTGCCCTGGGCGCCTGAAATCCTAGCTATGCCACTGTACCGCTACACCAGTAAATTTCATATTAGAATTCAGATCAACAGGAATCTTATCCTTTCAACCCTGATATTATCCTGCAAGTAGCTTTAGTCGCCAGTGAAAATTTTAAATAATATAAACGTTGAAAATCCCGACATTTACAAGTTTAGTACTTTGGAACCTGGATCTTCAATTACTGCATCTGGTATCCGTGCAATAAATCAATTTCCTAAAAAAATTAGAAAAGTAACAACTAAAAGATCCTTGAACGTGCTGTTCTTGTTAATCGAACTTTAGTTGAAGATAAATGCCCGGTCAGAGTCACTTAAAAATGGTCACGAAACATAGTTCGAAAAAAACTTGAAAATCTTAAAAAAAAAAGAAATAAGAATGATGAAGATACGATTTGTGGTGATTACGTACTCAACAAAAAAAAAAAAAAAAAAGAAAAAAAAAAAGATGATTGGATTCAATGCATCGAGTTCAAAACTTGGTTCCGTAAATGCAGTGACAAAGGAAGCATCATAAAAAGTGTTATGCACTTTGTGCAAAAAAGGGTGTACATTATTTAGCGAAAGCGACTAAAAGATTAGACTATAATTATTTGTAATAAAAAGTTCAATAAATAATATGATTTAATAAATAATAATTCATTTTTAATCATATCTTTTACTTAACTGCATTATGAAGAGAGAAAATAAAAATTGTGAATGGCGTTATAGGATTAGACTTAAATTACCATTAGTACCTTTCTTTAAAAAATAAAATTTCTATAAAATTATTTCAGTTGAGAGAAACAAATCTATGATATTTCTGCAGCTAAACAATCATTCTAGTTAATAAAAAAAAGATTTTTTCAAAAATGTAATATTTACATAATAATAATCAAAATGTAAACGGATCGTGTTACTTGAGAACTTTACCCTAAATTTATTTAAAAAAAACTTATATTTTTAATTTATGTATCATTTAATTAAATTATAAACTTAAGAAACTTTACTCTTCCAGTTTGACAAATAAGTTCCTCGCAAAAAAATCTTTTTTCTACAATTTGAAAAAATTATAAATTAAACAATTAAGCTTTGTCGTTTAAAACTATTTCCAATCCTTTCTGTGAGACCTCGGTCATTTCCAATGCTTTCTGTGAGACCTCTGTCATTTCCAATGCTTTCTGCGAGACCTCTGTCATTTCCAATGCTTTCTGTGAGACTCTCCTCGGTTATTTCCAATGCTTTCTGTGAGACTCTCCTCGGTCATTTCCAATTCTTTCTGTGAGACTCTCCTCGGTCATTTTCAATGCTTTCTGTGAGATTCTCCTCGGTCAGCAGCTTGAATAGTTTGTTAAATTTCTATATCCGCAAGCTAATATACTGAACGTGGTCTTATCTATTTTTTAAAAAAATTTCATTTATTTAACTCTCAGTAAATATATAAACATACTTCTTCTGTCCTGAATTTTTTGCTGCCACATCTAATTTATTTGTTGTATGTATATATATATATATATATATATATATATATATATATATATATATATATATATATATACCACAAAACATTTGTGAAATTATTAATGCTAAAAGATAAGACAGTTTTGAAATTAAAAAAACATACGTGTAATCTATTAAACGGTTTATAGGTTTAACTTTCCTTTAAAGCATATCGATGAATTGATTTAACATATGGATGCATCGATCGATCAAATGTAAAAATCAAACCTTGAGCTTTTTCTACTTCTTGAACAAATAATAATTCTTAATTATAGGGCATTAGTTAATAAAAACATGCAATTGTAACGAGTAATTATAATTCAAAAAAGTAGGTGACATGATAAAAAAACCAAATAAATCACATGATCCTAGCAGCTGTATTTTTCTATAGCTACAAATAGTTCGCACAATTGCTTTGAATTGCATTTTTACAAAATGAAAACAAAGGTTTCATTTCTTAAGAACAATTATTTAAAAAAATATCGTAACCATATTGAATTTCCATAAAGTTAATTTTATTAAAGGAGAAAATATTTTTCTTTTTGTTGCAAAAAAAATGTTTTAACTTGCGAAGTAAAGCTTGCAAATATTTTCGTATCGCAGAAAGAATTTTACATCGGAGCGGTAAAAATCGTTCATGAATGAGCAATCATTAAATTGTTTTGAAAGATTTATTCTAAAGTAAAAATATTACTTAAAACATAGAAAAGAAAAAAATATAAGATATAGAAAAGAATTAGGGTACAAGAAACTAGGAACTAGGGTTTTATTATTCAAGTATTCTGAAATATATTTTCGAACAAATAAAGAGAGTCATGACCAAGGTAAGAATAAAATACCAGATTATGAATTGTTTTGTTGTTCACAATTTATTTGCTATTCCGTTATTTATTAGTTATATTCTAATAGATATATATTTTTGATATCCCTATTGTTAGTTTTGTTGTTTTGAGCTTAAAAAAAAAGTCTTTAGAATCTATAGTATGTGTGGTTAACAGTCATATGGTCTTTTATGCATGCTCCTGATAAACAAATTTTAATTAATTTTGTTATGTAGTTTTAAAATAATTGTACTAAGTTCACAATTATAAAGTACGTGGCGTAAGGGTGTGTAAGTACAAAATTTAATTTTTTTAATAAAGATTGTTAAAACACCATAAAAAAAAGCAAAATAATATTTATCAAAATGAATTTCGTACAAAAGAAACCAAAATTTAAATAAATTTTTTTTAATTTTTTTGTGTAAAAAGTATTTTTAAAGATTTTACAATTGTTAAACGCATTAGCCGCTTTTTCATTTTACGCTTACAACTACATTAAACGCTTAAAACAACATTAAACGCTTAAAACGACATTACACGCTTAAAAGGACATTACACGCTTAAAACGGCGTTACAGGTCTAATGCACTTTCCCGATTATTAAGTGGTGAAACTTTTAATACGTGATATGAACCGAGTTGTAATGAGGTGATTTGGTTAAAACAAGTTGAGGTACTTAACATACAGAGAGAATTCACATTAAGAATGCACGGAATCGATCTTATTATTTAGCTGTTTACTGCATTTTTTTCCTATTTAGGGGTAACCATTTTAAAAAATAACTAGAAGTGGTTTTGTTAAGCACTTCTATTCATAAATCAACAAACATGGTGAAACGTAAAAACAACAAAACATGGTCAAATGTACAAACAATAAAACTTTACATGCAAAATAGTTCATAATTATTTTTTTGAACTTTTCTTTATTATAAGTGTCTGTAACTAAATAAATGTTGCTTTTAATATTTAAAGCTGCTGCTAGAATGCTTGTTGTGCGTTCTGATGCTTTAATGACGTTTGTTGTGCTTTCTTATGCTTTTATGACGCTTCTTATGCGTTCTGATGCTTGTTTGATGTTAAAGTCAAAAATTATGCTTAAAACGCATAAAATGCTTTAAACCTTTTTGAAATTTTTTAAAACCGTTAAATAGTAACATCCAGCTTCATTCAACTTTAAGTTTTAATGTAAACAAGCAAAAGGAGAAAATCCTCTTCATTAGTACGCATATATTTATGCTTATTTAGTGAGAATTCCCTACATATGTAGTATGTCGAGAATTCTTATGCATCTCTGCATACATTTAGACTTAATTGGTGAATCGAGTAGAAGTTTTTTCTATTAAAAAAAAGAGTCCCAGTACACATTTGTGACTATAACAACATTTGAAGATGGAATTACAACTTGCTTAAAATTTTAGCAATAATTTCATTTCTGACAAACTTTAAGTTTTAGTTCAATGATACCACGTAATTAAAACTTTAATTGAAAACGTACTTTTTCTTACATGGTTAGTGCTTCAGTCATGTGGCTCTAAATAATGCGCAAAGCGGTCAGGTTACTCGTAAAAATTGAAACATTTCTGAACCGAATTTTTTTACAGTTATATTTGCCACAGTTTCCTAATCAAAATGTATTTACTAATCTTGTTATTTCTTCAAATTTATTCAAAGTTATTTCAATCGCTTCTTCAAATAACAAAGAGCCCAACTCTTGTTTATCACTGCTTACTGAACCAAAACCAGAAACAAGTAAGACATAAATTAACTTTTTACTATTTGTCGCAAAGAGTTGTGGATTTTTCGTTATTGTAATTGCTTTCGGTTTCATTTTTTTGAAAAAATTAAAGTTCCTATTCTCACTAAGAAAATAGAAACATCTTTAACTTTTAAAATAAAATGTATTTATATTAACTTAGGGCCGCATGTCAAAGGTCGCATATCAAGGCCACATATCAAAATTATCCCTCAAATTTATGAGCGTAATTTTATGATTTCAATTTATTGCGGTATTTTAATTTAATTACTGATGATGGTAATTTGAAAAAAGTCTTATTTGAACTGGTTTTGAAAGTCAGTTCTTCAAGTTTGGCATGATGCTTTAAATTTTACTTGAAAAATAATGAATAAAGAAACAACGATTTATGAACTTGTACATTATTTATATAAAATTTATAACTTCTAAGGCTTTATAGATGTTTACCCATAAATTCAACTCTTGAAGATGCTTTATTTTAAGAATTATATATACTGACTTCAAATTTAAGTAAAGATCTAACATTTGTATTATAAATGGAATGTAAAGTTTATGTGTTATTTATGTACTTTATGTGTAATTTATGTGCTTTATGCAAATTTAATATGTAATTAATAAGTTTTCAAATGTTGATCAAGAATTCTTTCTGGTAATAATCAACATTATTATCACAAATTATCAATGATTGATCCATGGGGTACTCTAATAAAACGGGTCAATGGTTATTTATTCAATTAACTTCTACACTTTTTTTTCAATTTAACGGGTAACAGTAAAACTAATTTATCTCTTGAACACTTTGAAAATGCAATTAGTTAAAAAGTCTTTCAAAGAATTTAGTCTGATTTTAAAATTAAAGTGTTCAACAAATTAAATAAAAAATTCCTTAGTTTTTTTGAGGTAGTATAGAAGTTGTTGAATTATTAGTTTGAAATAATTTATTGAAGTGTGCAGGTCAATGTCTTATAAATCAGCTAGTTGCTTGCGCCAGTAGCAACGTGGCTGTACATGCAAGAAAAAGTATTATTACCTTTTTACGTTAAATTTAACTAAAGACCCTGCATTGCTTTGACTGTATGTACTTGTTCTTGGAATCATAAATAAGTTAAAAAGCAACTTTCAATTTTACGCTAAAAAAGTACGTTATAATAAACGCAAGGTCCAGACCGAAGCGAGCATAAAAACATTTTTTGTTTTTGTTTAATCACTATTGTTTTGTAAACAAAAATTGATAAACCTGACTGAAGGTCACAACCATATTGCTACGGCCCCGAATACTTGATTAGTCAACAAAATTTATTTCTTGTAAACTGCTTCAATCTCTGGAACTAAAAGTTGAAGATTGCAGAAATATTGAGCTAACGCTAATTTTTTGAAATATCAAGAGAACGCTAAATTTTTAAATGACCATTTAAGTTATGCTTATAATTCGGATGCCAATTCCAAATAGGTCATAGTATCCAAATTATAAGAAGCAAAAAGTTTTTTGCTTCTTATAATTTAAGGTATATTCTTATAATTTAAGATATATATAAAAAACTTTGGTATTATTTTGTTAAAAAATTGACAAGTTAATAAAACTAGATTGTTGATACCACAACTGTCTTTAGATCATATAACAGTATAACTTGACACGTGAAAATAAAATACTACTATTTGCGATGTAAAATGTCAACTGTTTGTAATGTAAAAAAAAGTATTGAAGAAGTATTGAAAAAGTAGTAAAAATTTTAACAGCATATTCTTTATTTCTACTTTCATTTTTCTAACTTTGATAAAAATTTTAACAGCATATTTTTTATTTCTACTTTCATTTTTCTAACTTTGATAAAAATTTTAACAGCATATTCTTTATTTCTACTTTCATTTTTCTAACTTTGATAAAAATTTTAACAGCATATTCTTTATTTCTACTTTCATTTTTCTAACTTTGATAAAAATTTTAACAGCATATTCTTTATTTCTACTTTCATTTTTCTAACTTTGATAAAAATTTTAACAGCATATTCTTTATTTCTACTTTCATTTTTCTAACTTTGATAAAAAGTTCAATAAAAGAATTGAAAATATTTGCACCACATCACCAATATCTGACATTTATGGCTCAAGGAGTATCACTGATTTTCATTGAAAATTAGTGATATTCGTTGCGTCACAAATGTTTCAAAGAAAACAAACATATTAAAAATCATTTGCACTTCATTGACACTTCTACTCTTTTTAACTTTAAAAAAAACCTTATTAACTAAAATTCAAAGAAGATTATTTTTGATTGAAAACACCTGACAGCAGTACGTAATTAATTTTAAATTATTTGCCAAGTTTATAATTTTATTTAAATAAGATCCATCTTTTTTTTGCCTAAATATATTTTTGAAATAAAAAAAAATTTAAATATAAAAAATCTGAAATTCTTAAGAAACTTTATTTAAATTTAAAAATCTTTTTTTAATATCATATTTTTACATAACGAATTTGTAAAATATTTGTAATTATAAAAAACATACAAATTATACAAATTATTATTACTTTTAAATAAATTATAAAAAACGAGCGTACATCAAAGATAAAATGTTTTCAAGCGTTAGGAGACAGCATTATATATGACTCGAATAAAAGTTAAAGGTTTACTTTCAAATCACATCTTTCTTATTATGCATTATAAATCATTTATAAAAATCACTTGATTTAATTACTATCAAATAAGAATATTGAAAACTTTTATGCTTATGTACGTAAAAAGTTATGCTTGGTTTCTGTTGCGCTTTTCCCTCTAAAAGAAAAGAATTACACGATTAAAGAATAGCGTTTCAACTCAGTGAAATTAATTACAAAACAAAAGTTATTAAGTATTAAATTTTCATTACTGGTTTCACCGTTACGTAAACGTAGTATAGTATTATACAAAGTTATCGTAACGAATGAGTGGAACAAGTGATAAAAGCACACGACATTCATATTTGACTTTAGCACCTCATAAAACATGTTAAACTGCCATTGAAATCATTGTGCTTTTGGTTTACACCAAGATCGTAACAAGTTTGTTTTTATATGTTTGGTTTGTTGTTATATGTTCTATGTTGGTTTTAATTCCAAAGTGAAACTTGATGTGCCGGCTGGATATTTTCTTTATGTCTTTTTTTAGTAACTTTTTATTATTGTTCTTTATTGTATCTTTTATATCTAGCAGTATTGTTTTCTTTAACTTCTCATAACTGAATTACAGTTTTTAGCACATTTTTTATACTAATT